ACACTGAAAATGGTCACCCTCACCCACCCTGGAAGTCCCATACCCAAATGTTACTCCTATACCCGGCACCACTAAAGAAGCACTGTAGCTGGGTTGTCAGCACCCTAATATCTAGCAACAATGACATTTACATTTTCCTAATTTGAGATGTAGTTATCAATAACTTATCATCCCAGTGAAATGAGCAACTCATATAGCAATTGTTTTTAGACAGGCTCTGTGTGGCAAAGCTTCAGCATATCAGATCAAATTTGAGAGATGCTCTTTACTAACTGCTTTTATTTATTCTTATTTATTTATTTACATTAATTGAAGTTTAAATTCCACAGTATCTCAACTAGTCTTGAGACAAGAGCTAGGTGAATTTACTGGACAAACAAGCTGTATCCAACCTGCACCCTGAAACTGTACATATAGGGTGCAGAGTAATATTTCATGCATACTTTAAGTGTTTTTGGTGAAGCAAGGACTTGTGGGAAAAAATGGAACTTGAGACATTAGTACTGAAACCCAATATGAGCTTTGATGACATACTTAAACTGAAGGACAAACAAAACTTCTAAAGTGACTATGCTAATAAATTCTGTAAGATCTTTTTTAAAAGAACCTGAACCAACTGTTTCTATATAGTGGCAATTACTGCTGGGTTAATGCTACATAAAGCATTTGCATATATTCATTTTAACAACACAAGTAAGAACCATGGGATTGGGCTCTAAATGCTTACATACCAGCATAAACCAGATGGTTTCCTCAAGAAGTCAACTACATTTCCTGAGTAGTATTTTAACTACACCTTTTGGAAGAGGCAGATGCTTTCCCTGGGTGCACCCAACAGAAAGCAAAAGTTGTAATGGCCAGATAACCATAATTTAGGAGTGGTTTCTAGTATATCCTGCATGTAACCTTTTTAGTATCCCAATTGTGTGTCTAATTAGCATTTGATGTATATAATATAGTGTTCTAGTTATTCTTCTTAAACTTAAGCCTGTTATTACATCCTTCCTTACCTCCACTACACAGCTCTTTAAAAGAAATCCAGGTGTTAACTTGAATCCTCTATAAGAGGGCACTTATTTTTTAACCAGTATTAATGGACAACTTTGGATTATAATTATTGCTGGTATTTATTAAATGATCTATAATATAAATAAGGAAACTCTTCTTCACTACTGGAAAAAGTAATACCTGTTTACTATTTTTAAGACAATAAAATTAAGTAAATTACAAATGTACAGTATCATCTGGTAAAGATATGAATGAGTACATTGACTACAGTGCAGCTCATAAAACTATTGATTTTAATGATTTCTAACTGGTTTAGGTGGAACTGGGATTGGTATTGGATTCATTAAGTTATGCCTGTCAAAAAGCCATAGAAAATCCCTTTTTACTCTCTCCAGATATTGCCATCATTTTTCTGGAGGTTACAGGTTCATGAATAATGCTTTCATTTCAAACCATGCTATTGGAAGATATGAGCAGCAAAACAAATAAGCAGTGACAAAGCAAGTGTTTGGTGAAAGATGTATTTTATTGTTGCAAGGGCAGATAATCGTATAAAAGAGTCAGAAGCAGTAAGCCAGACCTACAATAAGACATAAACCAAGGCACAAAATGAAACATTGTTTCCACACTATGGTTTTCATTAACCCCTTTTATTTCCAAGCATAGCTTCAATATGACAGCAGAAAGCCTGAGTTATTTTGTAGAGCTGGACCTCAGGCTTCAAGTAAAGCCAAACCAGGGACCAATCCTCTAACCCTTCTCCCTGCTGAAGCTTAATAGTAAATGTATGTCTATACGGCAATGTGAAGCTATATTTTTTCCAGTAATCAAGTGAGATCATTCACAGCTAGTTTCACTCTCTTTCAGTGACACTGAATTATGCTGTATAGATCCCCTAAGGGACAGATCCTATTCCATTTATTAGGGACCTAAGTGGATTTAGATGCCTAAATGTGATCCTATTCCATCCTGTTCCCATCCCTGAAAAACTGTTGGTACAAAATCGGATGGGTCCTCTTCCTCCTCCTGTTTTTTTTTGTGACTCAGTCTTATGGTAAAGGGACAAGCTCTTACTAAAGCAGGTGCATTAAGGGATTTCAGGGACTCCAGCAGGGTGGAATAGGATTATGCTTAGGCATCTAATAAGCTAGAAAATGATCTGGCCCTCTGTTCTCTAGAAGTGCCTTTCTATCCCTGAGGGTAATAAGTAGCATTGCCAGTTCCCATAATGCAGTGCAGACAAAAATGTTTACTTGCTGCCAAACTGAACATAATGCTGAGCTACAATAGGGCATTAGTAACCTACTTTGGCAACTCCAGGTATCCTTGCTAGTGTTGCCCTCTGGGGTCAGGCCAACTCTCAGGATCTCAATATTGCACTGTTAGACAGGAGGGTGTGACATAATTGGACATATACAAACACACAAATCAATTAGGTGCACACACACACACACACACACTACCAACTCAGGCACATTACACATCCAAACCAGCCTAGGTACATGCATAACTATCACCAATTCAAGCACATACACACTACACACCAAAAATTGGACAACAATCAGTTGTCAATACCCACACACAGATCACTAATTCGTATATCACACACACGATGACATATATATATATATATGTGTGTGTGTATATTCACAAGTTCATACACATACCACCCACCTACACAAACACACAGGCGAGCTCCTAACTTGGACAGTACGGTATGTATGTGTGTGTTTGGGGTACTTGGGATCCCTGAGGGAAGATTAAGGTGAGAGAGAAAGTGTAAGGAGTGAAAGTTGCTGGAACTGGGATTAGAACCAGTAGACTAGAGAGAAGCTGGGCTGAGGAACTGAGGCTTGGGGTTACTTAAGGTCAAGTGGCCCCAGGGTTACTCGAGGTTACTGGTGCAAGGGAAAAAGCCTGGTGGCAAGGAGGAGACAGCCAGGAAAGAAATTGAGGCAGAAACCTTGGGGCTTGGGGCTGGAAACTGAAGCAGAAAGCTTGGAGCTTGGGGCTGGAAACTGAGGCAGACAGTTGGGAGTTTGGGGGGCAGATAAGTGGTGGCAAGGAGGAAACAGTCAGAAAACAGACAAAAAACCAACTTGGGGTTTCAAAATAACAGGTTTATTAAACAGACAACACACTACACAGCCCCATGAAGTTATTGGTTCCCACATACACACACAAGCACTCACAATGGCAGAAGGAGAAAGAGATTCAGTGGAAGGGTTGGAGTCCAGGTAGGGAAGAGAAACAAGAGTCCAAGTTCTTGGTTGAAGAGGGGGTGGGGGTGATAGCTACCTATCAAGGCTGGAAAGGGGTCTTTGTCCAGTAGGTGTTGTCTGGCACAATGGTGGGTTGCCTCATCTTTTGTTTCTTGAATGCTGACGGTGGTTCCAATGGCTAGGTCATTGGTCCAGGTATTGGTTTTGATGGCTCGGTCATTCAGAAGAAGCTATTTTTAGACCTACTGCCATTGTCTCTCAAACACCCTCATTCACCCCATTCATTCAGGAACCAAGTTACATAGGAGAGGTAGTATGAGTCATAGGTGGCACAACAGGGCATGGGGACAGGATGGAGACTTGACAAACAAAATGGAAACTTGACATGACTTATGCTAACATATGTAGGCCTAAATCATATACTATCAGTAAAACAGTAATATAGAACAGTAAAAATCAATATAAACATAATAATTATATAATATAAAGAAGGAGAAAAAACAAAACAAATACAACTTGCTACCAAAATAAAATGCTGAAACTTATCCTATGTCTTAGCTCACCTATACTTATCTATAGGTAATAGAGAAGGAGAGAAAAAGTCAGAAATGGTTGGGGAAGGGGAGGGAATGCATTAAAAAAAAAGAAAAAGAAGAACGGGTTTTGCTACACTAGCATACACAGAGTTGCAGTAATGTGCAGTGATTTCACTGATGTTAATGGGAGCAGCACATATAAATTGCTTAGTACAGTAAAAGTAACCACTAGTTTCTCTGAAACACACTTTTAAACCTATACAGTAGGGCTCTGCAAAGCCTTGGTAGCCAATTCAATTCTTAGAACATTTGGCCTGATTCGGCAGCCAAATCTCCAAATCCAAATAGAATTGGAAGATCCATTAAAAGCTCTAAATCAAACTGGAAGCCTCCAAATCAATTCAGAAAAGATTCAACATCGATCCGGAGATTCAGCCATAGACTAAAGAGGAAGCAGCCCTCGAAGATGCTGGACACAGCTGCCTCCAGCTGGGAAGTCTGTTGTGGTGGGGGGAGGGGGGAGGGAAGGGGCATGGGTAGGATAGATCAATGACCCCACAGGGAGGAAGAGATTGGGACTGGGGCTGGGACAAGCTGCGCAGCCAGGACAGAGGGGGACGGGACTGGGGGAGTGGGGCTCCTGCCACTGCATGTCACTGTGCGCTGTTGGTCCAGGAAGGCATGGGAGTGGGTGTCTGGCCCCAGAGCTGTGTGGGGCAGGCTAGGCCAGGCTGTGCTCTGGACAGGTGGTAGAACGTGCTGGGAACAGGGGCTATGCCCTCCCGCTGTTCACCCAGCCTTCCCGTGCCTCCCAGACAAGCCGTGGCTTTGCCTTGACTGGGTGAGCAGTGGCAGGGCATGATGGCAGGCACATGCACCCAGATCAGGGAGGGGCTGGCAGCAGGGGCTATGGGGAACTTTAGGGTGGCTGCAGCCCTCCCATAGACCCCGCTCCACTGCATTCTACAGGGCAGGCAGAGCCAGGGCTGTGCTCCAAGTGGATATGGGCCTGGACCAGCCTGCCCCACACAGCTCTGGGGCCACACGTCCACTCCCATGCCCTTCCGGACCAGCAGCACATGGCAGCATGCAGTGGCAGGAGCCCCATTCCCCCAGTCCCGCACCCCTCTGCCGTGGCTAGGCAGCTTGTCTCAGTCCCAGGCCCAATTCCTCCCTCCCGTGGGGTCATTGATCTGCTCCCCCATGCCCCTTCCCTCCCCCATCTGCCCACCACACAACAGACTTCCCAGCTGGAGGCAGCTGTGTCCAGCATCCTCGAGGCCTGCTGCCTGTTTAATCTATGTTCAAATCTCCAAATAGGTGCCAAATCTTCGAATCCAAATCAGCCAAACCAAGTTGGGACAGTGATTCAAATCATCGAATCAAATTACTGTCCCTCCGAATCAGCTGAATCCAAATCTGAATTGAATACTTGCCGTTTTGCACAGGCCTACTATACAGCTCTTGTGCACTCTAGTAAATGAGCGCTTCTTCACTGAATAACTTTAGTCTGGATTCAGCAAAGTATTTAAGCACATGTTTAGTCCCACTGTGTGCTTCAGCTTTGTTTTGAACAAGGCTGCCCACGTGAATTGGAAGTCAAGTACTAGAACATTTTGTTTTAATATTAGAGTTTCACATACTGTAATTGCTTTAACATACTTTTTAATATATATGAATGAATGGCACTTCATAGATGACTTGATATGATTATACTGCTTATTGTTGTCTGGACACTATTTCACATTTCATAAACCCCAGTGTTACCAACACTTCAGGTGAAGTATAGAAAAGTCTGCTTCATAAAACAGAATCTGTGGGTCTGATCCTTCTAACTTCTATGAGGAGCCTATTTATGAAAATTGTGCCACGGCAACCTACTAATTCCTTTGAAATATTTGGCTAAGTACAGGCATAAGGGTCTGAAGGATTGAAACTTAATTTTGCAAACACAATAATATAATTAATGAATTTAGGACAATTGTATAGAATAAGAAAAAGGAGTAAAACATTCATGCTATAAAACATTGGTTTCATAATCTAATACAATGAGTGTGGGTAGAATATATATATAGCAAGCCCAGGTAATGTTGTTTTCAAGCTCAAACATAAAACTGGAAAATATAATTAAACAAGAACATAGATACAATATTTAATTAGTATCTGCAGTAGCATTCTATAACATTCCAATAATAGCCCTTATTCTCATACCTGGGAATAAAATTAAATACAGGGTTGCTCAGATATCCCATGATGATAATGGTACAAGAATTTAGTTTGATTAGATAAGATAAAAAGAACAGAGCAGGAGAGGAGGCGAAAAAGAAAAACAGACAAATATATTGGGGAACAAAGTCAAAAGTCTCATTTTCTCAAGTCAGTAGTTTTCAAGCTCTGGTCTGTGGACCCTTGCAGTCCACAGACTATGTCAAAGGGGTCAACAAAATATTATTATGATTATTCAAAAGTATGTGAATACCCACACAACATTCAAATGGGTCTGCACCTCCACGAAAAAATTTTTAGGGGGCTGCAAATGAAAAAAGGTTGAAAACCACTGATCTAAATGTTCAGAGACCATGATGATAGGTGCAGGATTAACAGGCATTCAAACAGCTTCTGTTACATTTAATATAAAAATATTTGTTTGGAAAGGGATTTTTAATCTTTGATACTATCTTAGATAGTATCTGAGAGTGCTCTTACTGCCCTGATAACTTCACTGGTATTTCAAAGTAATCTTTGGCTAAATCCTCCTGGTTTTACCCATAGAAACCATCCCATTGAAGCTACAGGGCAAGGCTAATAAGTTTTTTACCATTAAGTCACTAGGATTCACATTCACTGCATTGTTCCTACCTCAAAATCTAGACTGTAGACATCTAAAGTATTTTGCTATTGATTTGCAACTTGGAATGCTCCATTTCTTTTTTGTCCCACATATTTGTCCATTTGCTTGTGTATTGTTTATAACACTGTCAGTTTACAAGGAGAGGCAACTTGAGAGGTACTTATTTCCTTTTCAGGATTACTGCTCACTTGGACTACATTGTTAGTTGCAAGTGCTCAACATCACTGAGAGGGGCATGTCAAGACCAGGTACGGTACACTTGAAGCATCCGTTTACTCAGCTGATCTTTGGGCAGTTTTACCCATTGCAAATAAGGACAGCATTTAAACTCCTCTGAGTTATATCAAGTGTCGATCTGGTTCTTGGTCAGCTAAAGTGATTGAGAAGACAAGAACTTAGCACAATTTAGGATGAAGTTTGTACTTTTAGAATGCAACAATAGCTATAAAAAATTAAGTGGAAACAGGATCAGACCCCTGATGCTGAACAGGGTGATGATATATTAGACTAACCAAAATAGGTCACACATACCTTTACTGTGAAGGTGTGAAAGAAACTTGATACTAGAGGAAATATAATGAAAAAAGAAAGAAAAAAGAGGACTTTTTTTTTCATTAAACTGAGTTGTTTGGGTTCAGGTCAGCTTCAGACTACAGAACACATGATGGAGCAAGTTGACCTTCTCAGGCATAGACATGATTTCTCAAGCAAATTAACCTTTTTCTCACCTACAGACAGAACAACAAAAACAAAACAAAAAACCCATAAATCAACTGGTAAGCCTGTTATTTTAGAAAAGACATAGAATAGTGGAGTAAATTCTTCCAATATACCTTTGCATCATTCATATAGACAGAAAAACAATTACGAAGTAAATCAGATCCCTTCTTTAATTGATTACATTCTGAAGCCCTCTCTTAAGAAAAGTTGCTGTACAACCAGCCAATATTCAAATTGCTGGCTCTGGCAAAAAATATGCCTTCCCTTGGGTTTTTTTTATTCTCCCCAGCAATCTCAATATTATGTGAAAACAAACAAACAAATAAAAACCTTTGTAATTACCTTTTCCCAAATTAAGACTTCTAGATATTGTGTTTTAGGTTATCATAGTAAAACAACTGTTACACTTTATAGGAAAAAGAAGTAGATACAGCAAATTCATGGTTTTGTTGTTTGCAAAGTACTGT